AGTCTGTCTGCTTTTACTGCTTCAAAAATATTTTGTAACCCTGCGAAAATATACTGGATTTTTTTCTTCCAATTCGAATATGACATCTCTTCACCTGCAAAGCGATTAATTCTGGTGCTGTGAAACAACACGCCAATGTCGTCTGAATTTTCTTCTTTTACTGCTCGTAGTTGGGAAATCTTAATGATCATTTTTCCCTGAAGGAAAATGAGGAAGTGATTACGACAGAAAGGTACTTCTAATTCTTAACGGTTTCCGGTCCGCGTAGACACGAAAAAGCAAAATTCACACTATAATATTTAAGAAAGAAGAAGCTTTTGTAAAGACATCCTCCGCTTCTTACTTCATCGATAGTTGATAATTCGTCACGTTACTCAACGGCTGAATAAAAAGTCACTGAAGACCACTATATTTTCTTGCATGAATAAATGCTTTTGCTTTATTTTATTAACTTTCTTCTATATACCGCGTCACTTCAGTACATTGGCGATCAATGCTCTCCATAACGTCATATCTAATAGAACTCTTCGAATTGTATGTCTATCACCCCCGCCTCGTTCTGCGATTTGTTCACACAAGCTCTTCAGGTAAGTGGCTCACTACCTTCTCCCACCTCCCTTACCCTTACTATGCCCTGTAAGGTTTAAGTTTACGAAGCCACCCTTTATTAAGAACCAAAGGATTTTCAACTGTTTTGCCTGATAGTGGGTAGAAGTATTTTCTTTCTGTTGCCATTTTGTTTAAGACTTCCTTATGGCTTTCTCACTCCGCTCAAGGGATTTTCAGTATCCTTCTATAGAACCACATTTTTGATACCTTTTTTTCCAGCATTTAATATTATATAAGAGGACGGATATCACATAGCCATCAAGAATTCTTGTCTTTGAATCTAACCATTTTTCCTCTTTTCCAGAAGATTGCTTGCCTTCGGGAATGCTTCTATCGCTACTCCAATGCCTGTTCGCATCTCGGTGTCATATTTTCCATCCTCTGTAAAAACGCTTCTCAGATATTTAAACTGTTTTTACCGACTCTGTGTATATATTTCCAACTTGTAAATCTCATTTTGGACTTTTTCATTTACTTATAACTATTCTTTCTGTTTTCTTGCACTTGATACTTAGTCTTTTGTTCTCACTTTCTACCACTCGAGGAGACCATGTGGTTTTTTGTCCGACACAGCCGTCAACAGAGTTATCAACAGACTCGGCTGTCACCTACGTTATCCTGTTAAGATTATACCAACCGATAATAAATCCTGGTAGAGTCTCCAGTTCTCCTAGTATAGCGTCGCTGTACAGGTTGGATACATCTGGGGAGAAGACGCATACGTGTCTCACGCCCTTACTGTTTTTGTATAGTGTTATATAGTAATAAAGTGTCGCTGCCAACACATTGAGTTTGAACTTAGATCGCCAGTGAGCAAACACAGGCAATGCCATTATTGAATTAAGTAGACCACGTGACTATAGAGGAAATGCATATATGTGAGGTAGCGTGTATCTAATGGATCTGCATTTCTACTCTGTCCTCTATTACTATATGGACCGCTATTCTCTACTCTATTCACTATACTATTTCTTTATTTGCATCACTATACAAATTACTATTCAAGCGAGTATTATCGAGCACGTACTATTAGTGAGAGTACTATTCGAAGGCGTCTGATACCAGTATTGTTCGACGGCGTACTATAGTTGTATCTGCGATTGCAAAGTCTCTACTACAACGAGCTAGACGAAACTGACAACGAGTATTCGTTGACATCATAAAAGTGTCAACGAGTGATCGTTGACATCACAAAATATAGCTACTCTATTTGTACGTAGACGGTTTACACAACTTCCAGCTGCACCCATAATGTTACAGCATCAGCTGTTATCTTTTTAGAAAAGCACAAGAAAAAAAATTAAAAATTCGCCATTTGAAAAAAATTAAACACTACTTATACAGTGTGCGATTTATAAATTGTCGTTTAAATTACGCAAAAACAAAAATAACACCGACAGCTCATTATAACAGATATCTTTACCAAAATTACACAAACATATCTTGAAATACGAATGAGTGTATTTATTCACCAAAATAGTAATTGCCTTCAACTGGGGCCTCCACATGACTTCGAAAATCTCCTGTAACTCTTTTAGACGGTTCCTTGTTTAAGTTGTTGAATGCTGCAATAATCCTTGCCTTCATGTCATCTTTGGTGTTACAAAGAAATTTGTTGGTCTCCTGTTCAACTGCATCCCTCACATAATAAACTAGACGGTTTCCGTCTGGAAAGTTAGGTGGCTATATCTAAGAGGTGATGTTGTCGCAGAAATTGTCTGACAGCCATGATTGCGTTTTCACTGCTTGTATGGCCTGGTGCAGAATTCTGTTGCCATACATAGTGTCTTCCAGCAGCCACCATCTTGAACCAGGGCATCACTACCTCCTCATGGCATTTGTTATATGCCTCTGTGTTGAGTTTTAGGCCCTTTCCAACAAATTCTGGAGTTCTTTTCTTATCAGAACGATCAGTGAGTCTTTCGAGCTGCCGTACTATTAGACTCATCAATCTATTTCCGAATCCTCTGCACTCCCCCCAGATTCGCACCTAAATACTCTGAAGTGTTCGTATTGGAGATTCTGGTTCGAATGCTAAGCAGTGTAGCATGCCGTTTCCAAATTTCAGGCTGAGTGAATTTCTTCATGATGCTCTTTTTCTCATAGATGTTGCTCATCTGGCCCTACTGCATTGCGTAGTCGACAAAATAAAAAACGAACAACGCGCATGCGCGAAATTAAAAATATAAAATAGCTCCAATTTACTCATCGCATCCTGTAGACTCTATTAGTTACTACTATTACTAATAATAAATGGATTCGATTTCAGTTATTGCACTAAATAAATCTTCTACGAAAGATCTTACATATTACTATGTCTACCATTCGTCCATGATTTGAATATTGATACACTATCTGATATGATCCTTCTGCTATATATTTAGAACTTCTTGATAAAATCTAAAGAATCTGCAATGTCCTGACCTGGAATATCTCCTTCAGTCAATTTCACATCAACGCCACGCAGTTTCTCAGTGATTTTTCTATACATAATTTCTTAGTAAATATTTTGATCAACTTGCTTCTGTGGTAGGTAGAGTTTATAAATTTAAGCGCATTACTAGATTAGTGACAACATCTCGTCATTTTATCGATGAAATGGCTAAATATAACCGGATCTTCTATGGTAACATTTTCGTCCCTCGTACTTCTCGCTTGTGGAATTCACTTCAGGCTTCTTGCTTCCAATTGTAATTTGATCTTCAAATGCAATGTCAACCGCTATATTCTGTTTTCTTAATTTCTGTTCTTTTATTTTGCCCAATGCTAACAGTTTGTTCTCGTCACTTCTCGCCCGTGGAACTTTCTGACCGCTTCTTGATTCCCAGTCAACTCTGATCTTTAAAAATTTAAATGCAGTGTCAATCGTTATCTTTTTTCTTCTTAATTTCTGTTCTTTTATTGTACTTTCTGCTAAGTAATATTTTTCATCTTCTCTCGTACACAGAATCTTCCTTGTGTCTCAGTTGCCTTATTGCATTGCTTGGAGTGAAAGCATTTTTAAAAATAGCACGTCAGAAAATTCTTCATTTTGCATAAAGTCTACGACAGTCGTCACTATAGAGAAAGGTTAAAACAAGAGAAAAGGAAAATAAAATGATAATTTTGCTGCTGATAGATAAATAAATAAAATTACACCTGTCCCGATAGCAATAACTAAAAAAAGGTTTTAATAATCAGAGCAAATTCCGTATTTCTTCGAAATTACTTGTAAATTTTAAAAAATTAAATTCAATAATTTTAATTTTTAACTTTAATCAGTAAATTTAATTCATACACATATACACATTGTGTCGCGCCGACATAAACACGCCATACTGGCTGTGACGATAAACCACATCCGGTAGGAAGACTTCTGATTGGTTTGTTTTAAGGCGAGTGGGATCACCTCTTAATTGCTGTTGTTCCCAGGTTCAACCTCAGCCGAAGTGGTTACACTAATAAGTCGGAGCTGTGGATAAATACTGAATCCCCAGATCGTGGTAAAACATGAAAAGTTACCAGAAATTCTTTTTAATATTAAAAAAAGAAAATTGTCAGCAATACATTATTGGAAAAAATTACCAGCAATTCTTTTTCATAGTAAAAAAAAAAAAAAATTACCAGCAATATATTATTGGAAAAAAATTACCAGCAATTATCTTTCATCGTAAAAAAAATTACCAGCAATACATTATTGGAAAAAATTACCAGCAATTCTTTTCATAGTAAAAAACAAAAAATACCAGCAATACATTACTGGAAAAAATTACCAGCAATTTTTTTTTCATAGTAAAAAAATTACGAGCAATACATTATTGGAAAAAAAAACCAGCAATACATTTAAAAGATAACTTACACGAAAATTAAATTTTGTCATTAAATTACCCATAAGGCGTTGATATGCCGTCAAACAACAAAAGCTAAACAAAACCAAACATAAAGACGAGTATAAAAAAAAAAAAAAAAAAATCTGTTATATGTGTGTTATTACCACTTGGGTCGAAAAAAACGCCGTTAAGTTAAACAACGAGACACTTCCTGTTTCCCTCTCTCTTTTCTTTCTAACATGCGGTAGTGATAACACCATCCAAAACCTTTTCCCGGGGATGGATATATATTTCCCTTTAGTATCAGTCATAGAATTCCTAAATTTTAATGTATTATTTCTTTCTTTTTTCTCTCCTTAGTTATTCTGTTATATAAATACGCGTGACGATATCGACATTTTTCATTGCATTTTCGTCCAACTCTTCTAAAAATAACGGCCCGTAATTTACATGGGTAAATGTTGTTCGCCAATGCTTTTAGTCAAACTAAGAGTAACACCGTAAACGACATGGATTTTATCTGCTACTATTTTGACTAATAAGAAACACAGTCGATTTCACAAGTTTACAACATAAACAGGCTTACGGCCATATCACGTTGAAATACCGGTTCCTGTACGACCGCCGAAGTTAAGCAACATCAAGCCTGGTCATTTACTAGATGCGTGGCCGCTAGGGAATACCAGATGATGTGGGTCTGGATGTGCGGATGCTGTAAAACTAATTTGGAATTGGAGATCAGTTTTCTTTTGATCCCTTATCCGAAAATCTCCTTGTGAAATGTATGAACCCACGACTTATCTCCCCAGCTAAGGGTTAATTAGTATGAATTGTTTTGGTAAAATATTTTTATCAGAAAAACATTCTGAAACTCTAAAAATATTTTCTGGATTTAAATAAACTGCAAAGGGTTGACAAACCATAAAAAACAAATCGATAAATTAGCTGTATTCATTTATTATCCAAATTTAATAGCCATAGTGGTCCATAGTTAAACCTATTGTTGACATGATTTAAAATTAGTATTGGAAAGAATTTCCTTTAAAAAATGTTCTTTGGTACGTGACTTAACGACTGTTAACCGGGTACTAGGAAAAAGAGATGTTTAATTAGATGGGTAATCGGTTATGAATACCAGTCCTGTAAGATTGGAGACGTAGATGGTCAAAGAGATAACAGGTCGTAATTGGACATACGCTTGGGAAACGTATGAACCCATCTCTTCTCTACCAAGGAATGGGTTAGTTAGCGGGACTTGTATCAGCAAATAATGATTGTTGTATTCATATGCAAATCTCCATTATATAAATAGCAGTTGATACACTTGGAGGCTAAACAAATCCTAACCTTTGACTGGAATTTGTAGTCTTTGAATAGTTGCCCCAGGGTATTTGCCCCCCTGGCAGTACCTTTCCCTCTGGAGAGGGCTAGGTTTATGACCCAGTGCCTGAAGCGTCCCCAAAAAGGGAAGTTTCGAGGGAGCTTGTGGATTTTTGCGCGGTATGGCAATTAAGCCGACTTTAAACCTCGATCTTATGTCACATGTGACGCAAGGCATAGTTTTTATATTTGTTTATTATGATAACACGAGGAAATTAAAAAAAACCCAAAAAAACAAACATATTTTCACGGGCATTTCTAGTAAAGAAGAGACTGAAACTAATAAGAGAGGAATAATAATAATAATAATAATAATAATAATAATAATAATAATAATAATCCGGGCGCAGAATTACAAGTAAAGCACAATACATCGAATGAAGCTGCGAAATAAAACCGACCAAATAAAGAAACAATGACAAGATAAACCGCTTCATGGCCAATACTCTGCCCGTACTAAACAAGCTGATGGAGATTAACTCCGTATCCATCAGTGGCTACGTAGTGCAGGGTTAAAAGCTTACAGTGAAGATTTTATCCTTGCTGCACAGGATCAGTTCTTGTTAACTAGGAATTATCAAGTACATATACTAAAATATTGTGTTAGCCCAAAATGCAAATTCTGTGATAAATATCCAGAATCAATTGGTCATCTTGTATCAGGTTGCACGATATTGGCACCCACTGAGTATAAAATCCGGCATGACAGAGTGGGCCAATAACTGCACTGAAAGAAATTGGTATGAACACCACCCAGACCTGGTTACGGAGATAGGATCTCTAACAATTTTATGGGACTACACAATACACACAGGCAGAACAATCAAAGCTAACCGTCCAGACATTGTTATTGTCTCCTTATTGATATGGCAGTTTCTGAAGACAGCAATGTATCTTTGAAGATCTTCAAAAAGCTATCAAAATACAAGGACCTTGAAATCAAAATTTCAAAAAAGTGGCACATGAGAACATCAACAATCGTTGTTGTACTTGGAGCCCTCGGGCTGGTTGGAAAAGATTCCAGTAGACTAATTGAAGGGATTCCTGGAAGCCCATGCCTTAAAGAAATACAAAATAAAATTATTCTCACGAAAACAGCCCACCTATTAAAACATCGACGGAAATAATGAAGCCGAAAGTATGGGGCACCCAGTTAGCTCGAAAAAATGGAGAGATAGGAATCGCGATAACACTCGCATATTTATCGTCTGCTTCAGCGTAATGGAAAACTTTTAAATTAACTCTTATTATTTGTACCCTCTTAATTCTTTAAATAATGACCTTACTTTCAATATTGCTTTCACATATGGTCGGGTCCTGCAGGTATATATTTCGAGATTCTTTTATCTGCAGTATTATTGGCAATGGTCTGGCATCTCAACTGCAGTCATTTTCGTACTGCCGTGACGTAGCTTACATGTGCCTTTTCTATAAATCCTTTCATGGTAATTGTTCTGCTGAACGTTTCTCTCTGGTGCCTAGACTTTTTGAATTTAACCGCAGTACTAGATTAGCGGCAAGGTCTCATCGTTTTACAGTTGAAGTGGTTAGTTGCAGCCCCATACGTTTTCTGCTGACAGTTTCTTCCCTTGAAATTCTCGCTTGAGGAACTCACATCCGGCTTCTTCCTTCTCAAGTTTGATAATCAAAATGCAAATGCAATGTCAATCGCTATCATCCGTCTTCTAGATTTCTGTTCTTTCATTGTTTATTTTTTACCATAATAGTGTTTTTCTCATGTTCCTTAACTCTCAGTAATCCCTTGCGCCTTAGTGGCTTTATTACCTTGCTTGGGTTGGAATTATAAAAAAAAAGAAAACAAATGACAGAAGATGTGACAACAAAATAGGAAGCGCCATTTATATAGCGAAGATGCTTTCCAAAAGTCTAGCAAAGTATAAAGAAACCGGAAAAATTCGTGAAAAATAAAGCAAAAAGTTCTGAGATCCTATCTCATATATGGCATAAATGTTGAAAAATATCCTCATATATGAAGAGGAAACTTGACAAAACAGAAATGTGGTCCACTAGAAGGGCGTTCAGAGCATGTCCGTCACAAGAAAGGGTCCTAAGAAAAATTGAAACAAAACAAAGGCACTTGCACTTAGAAAACAAAACAAAACCTGTCACATAATGAGGAATAAATGTTTGAAAAATTTGACACTTACAGGTCATATTGTTTTTTTTTTACGTAATTGCGTAACTGCAAGAAATTGATATGAGCTGGTAAAAGACCCGGTAAAAGACAAAGGACCTGTAAAAATGTTATAATGGACAAAGACAGAATAATGAAATATAATCGCAAAGACATCGTGATCAGAGACAGTAAAAACAAAATGGTGCTTCTTATTGACGTGGCAATTCCTTTCATATTGTAATCTATCCATGAAGATCTTCAAAAATAAAATCAAAGCAAAAGAACCTTGAAATCAAAATTTCATTAAAGACATCAAAAATTCCAGTTGTAGGTGAATCCCTAGGATTGATTGGAAAAAGAAAAAAAAACGTTCCGATAGACAGATTGAAGAGATTCTTAAAAGCGTGAAAGAGATACAAAACACTTTACTCACAAGTACAGCACCCACATTACGAAGAGCTTTATCTATGATTTTTTTTTTTGTTTATTTTTCTCAAAAATGTGCACAGTGGAAAATCTCATGATACGATTTCTGAACTTAAGTCTCTGGTTGGGACCCGGAAAGAAATGAGTATACACCAGAAATCAAAGGAAATAAAATAATAATAATAACGATAGATGACATTACTTCGAACTGACTTGTAAATTGTTTGTTTATTCGACTTCGAGGAATTGTGGAACTGTTTAGAAAGACTCTGATGGTAAATCCGTGTGTGAAAATGATGGGAAAAGACGAGCCTACAGAATAATGGGGGTAAATAGAAAAAAAAAGAATACATTAAAAGATTTCTTTACGTTATGTTTATTTAATTGTTGCCAGACGAGTAGAAGCATTTTCCATTGAATTTTTTTATTTATTCCGAAATTCAATAAGCGATGCTAGAAGCGGATGATTAAGAAAGAATGACAGTCGAAGGAACAGCGAATATTTCATAGCAACAGATCTTAATGCTCTTCGCACTTGTCACTAGTGATATAGAAAATCAACCAATCAAAAAATATTCTGTGTACCTTTCTGAATTTCGAAAACGTTTTACTGTTACTGTTCAATAATACTTGCTTCTTCGCGTATCTTTTCTGCATGAAGTTTCGGCCTGTGTAGCTTCCGGTTTGTTATGGTCCGGTTCCTTGTACCACGGTGATAGTCCAAGGTAGAACCAATAAAGAAGAACTCGAACACAGGTATGGAATAACACAGATATATTACAAACAGGAATATACAGAGAAGTAGAAGTGTTAGTATGAACAATCAGGTTTAGTAGAGAGAAAAATGTAGTCTCGACTAGGATCACTATTCCAATGTCTTGCAGTAATTGTCTGAACGCGACTCTGTTTCGGACTGCCTCTGACTCGACTCTTGACTCGACTTGAACTACTGACTCCGCTTGAACTACTGACTCCTGAGGCACAGTAGTTACTAAGTATGGAATAGTCCATTATTATTATTATTATGGGTAACATCCCATAACACGGTTTTAATCCGATCATATTCAGATGCTGTTCATACTTGTCACCAAAGACGTAAATAAGACCAACTTAAACAAAATAGTTCATTTGTACCTGCTTTGAGCGTAAGACTACGCACCAGATTTATTCAAACTTTACAAAAAGGCGATCCTCTGGGAACTAGAAGTAATACCATGATTTATTATTGTTCAGTACAATCTTAACAACATTAGATACACCGATGCCACAGTAGACACAGAACGAAAACTGCAGGAACTCCTAGAAAATGTAGTAAAGCGAAACGAAATAAATAATAAAAAAAAACGATAGTAAGCATGGTTGTCAAAAAGAACCACATTCCAGGCTGCGAGTTACGAACTGGAGTTGTGACAATCGAGAAAGAACGAAAATTTACATATCTTTATAGTGCTTCACCGGATGAAAATAAGCAAAAAAAAAAAAAAAAAAATGTCTTCAATTAGAATGGCTGATGCTAATCTCCACCAGAGTTTCACCTCCTTGGACTAACGTTTTTTTGCTGGCGTGAAGGGGAAAGATCATTATATTAAATCTATTGTTAGGTTTTCTGCTAGGAAAGTTAATTCACTGTATCGGGCTAGACAATTTTTTCAAGAGACTCTATCTTATATAATTGTCCTTACTTTCCATATGCTGTCACATATGGTCTGCTGCTACAGGTATATATTCGAGATTCTTTTATCTGCAGTAT